TCCCCCTTCACAAAGACTGGTCTTTTGTCTGTGTGCGGACATGCTCCAGAGCTCACACCTAGAGCAATGTGGGCACACACACACACACACACACACACACACACCATCAGCAAGATCAGACAGCCAGCCCACCAATCTGGGAACAAGCCTGAGAACAAGCTGAAAATATCCTGACAATTTCCCTATGTGAGTTCAAATCACTTTTCCAAGCTTGGCTTTGTTCTTTAATCTATTCAGCTTCAAAACGTTGGTTGTACAATCTAATTAATTTCTCCCAAGCCCAAAGCCAGATCCAATATGTAGTGAATATGCCCTGTCAAACACATATCTCCCCTATCAAGCATAAATCAAGTCACCCATGCATATTTGCCATATTCAACAGATACGAGTTGATTAGATATGGGTTGTTGCACTGAGTAAGTTTACATAGAATGTACACAAACGCAATAATAGATCTGACGATGGAAAAGGACAACAGATTTAAGGCTGATTTTTAACCTCAGAAAAAATTTAATAAACCAAAAAAATTTAATAAAAAAATAACAGACACAAACAGACTTTAAAAAAAAAGATTTGTGAGATTTATCATGGAATAATCAAGGACTTAAATTATTTTAATAAATACATAAACTACATAATTTGACACCCTTAATTCCTTTTAGGGTTTAAGGCTACCCAACTTTAAAGATGAACTAATGGAGATGAGCTATTAAACTAGGTTCCATAACTCCCATCCAAACTTACCAGAAATACCATAAAGTTGCCCTAAACCCAAAAGTTCACACTGGTTGATGGATTCAGAAAGCAAGTCAGAAAGGCATTTTGTGATCCAGGTCTATGAGATAGCTTTATGTCCGCTGATCAGTGAACTGTGTTATTCGCCTGGTCACGGAGGATTGCACTGACCTGGCCAATCTGTGAGCAGTGTCAGGATTCATTAGCGCAACAGTAGGACTCACTCAGGTCTGTGATGAACATATCTATGGACAGGGGAATACACAGACACCAGGAATAAAGTTTGCTCGCACATCCATCTCAGCGGCATTGTGTGAAAATAATGCTGGGTTCTTATTTGAACCTGTATCTCGGGGTGATGCTATTCACATCGAGGCTGCAAAGGCGAGGCAGTTGTTTGAGGAGATTAATTATTGAAAGCAATTAGAGTGTTTGTATTGCCCCTCTTCTTTTTTTGTATTGTGTGAGTGCAGTGCCTTTCAGCACAGTAAACAACTGCAAATCTCAGACTGCTATTATGCACGCACAATAACGGTTCCACGATTTGTGATGAAGGCGGAAAATGAGAAAAGCATGAAGACAATAATGGTGATGATGATGAAGAACTGTGGCTGACAATGTGGCTGATGATGAAGAGGATAGCGCTGATCAAAATGAAAAATGTGGCTGTTATTTACATTTACATTACATTTACATTTAGTAATTTAGCAGATGCTTTTATCCAAAGCGACTTACAAATGAGTCAAAGAAAAATAAATTATTAATGTTTCATATAATTATCAATTACTTGCAAGGCTGTTAAAGAAACAGTTCACCCAAAAATGAGAATTTTGTCATCGTTTAATCACCCACATGTCGTTCCAAACCTGTAGGAGTTTCTTTATTATGGTGTACATAAAAAAAGATATTTTGAAGACTGCTGATAATCACACAGTGGATGGTCCCCATTGACATCCATAGTATTTCTTTCCCTACTATGGAAGTCAATGGGGACCAAGTTGACCAACAACTGTTTGCTTCTTCAAAATTCTTTAAAATATCTTCTTTTGTGTTCAACATAAGAAAGAAACTTACACAGGTTTGGATTGACATGAGGGTGAGAAAATTATGACAAAATGTAAATGTTTGGGTGAACTATTCCTTTAAAGAGATTCACCCAAAAATACAATTTCTGTCATCATTCATTCACCCTCATTGTGAAACATAAAATAAAATATTTTAAAGATAACACGTTTGACTTTCATTGTATGGACAGTTTTCAAAATCTTGTGTTACACAGAAGAAATAAAGTTATATGGGTTTGGATTGGCATGAGGGTGAATAACCAAGTTTTAAAGTAAAATTTCACCCAAAAATGAAAATTTGTTGAAAATGGCCAATCTCACCATCAGGTCATTCAAGATGTAGATGAGTTTGTTTCTTCATCACAACAGATTTGGTAATGTTTAGCAAAACTGTTCTGATAAAAACATCACAAAAATCTACAAGTAATCCACACAACTCCAGTCCATCAATTAAAGCCTTGTGAAGTGAAAAGATGAGTGTTTGTAAGAAATAAATCCATCATTCTGTCATTATTGTGATGTTTTTATCAACTGTTTGAATTCTCATTCTGCCGGGACCCATTCACTACAGAGGATCCATTGGTGAGCAAATTATATAATACTAAATTTCTCCAAATGTTCCGATGAAGAAACACACTCATCTACATCTTGGATGGCCTGGGGGAGAGAACATTTGCAGCATTTGTGTGAACTATTCCTTTAAATTCTAAGAAAACTTTAAGTAGTTACCCAACTTACATGCTAAACCACTCTTTTGGTTAATGGTATCTGCATTTATTTCCACTGCGAACAGTGTTTCTCACATCAGTGCACACCACAGCATTAGAGCAGCTCTTCCACCTGCTGCTGAAATATTTACGATTGGGTGAAATTCTAAAATTGGAGAGTTGAAGAAATGTGACAGGATGAGGTCTTGCTACTGAGAGGGAAAGGAAAATGCGATCTCCTTTAGAGCATTATAGGAAGATCCAGTGCTGAAAATGTGCTTACAGTACATTTTCCATTCTTTCTGTGTAAATTTATATATTTCCATTGAGTGTTCTTTTCCCAATCTTTCCAGCTAGGTTTCCTACAGATTTTTTTAAGTGCCATCTGCTCTGGAGGCATATTTAATGGCCTATTCAGTGCTTTTTAATATGTGTTTGTCAGATCTGAGGCTTTACTTTTGTGTCTATATGTGTGAGAATGCATGTTCGCCTGTCTCTGTGTGTGGGAGAAGCAATTGTTTGTTGTTCCTCTCACTTTCTGCACTGTGCGAGTTTCCTGTAGAGTCTTTGTCTTCAATAAATCCTTTGCTACTGAGCACTATGGAAAAAGTTCCAGGATCGCACCTATACTCATTTGATGTATAATTCAATGAGCATCAGATGCACTTGAGCAGAAAAGCATGGAAGCTCATACAGTAGCTGACCCTCACTGAGTTCTCATACATTAACTATCCTCATCAGTCATGCACAGCAGGTGGTACGATGCATTTCCACCCACCTTTCTGGGCTTTTACTCCTTTCAGTTTTTTTTTTTTTAATCTGTCCCATGCACCTTTCTCTACTGAGTCAAAGTACTGGCTCCAAACACAGCTTACAAAAGCAGATTCTATATCAATGCTTGGCTGCAAATTCAAGGAAAAATCAATCCTTGTAAAGCCAAACCAACAGACAACAACAAAACAGGAGAGCTTGACAATGTGGCACAGACTAAACTGTGAAAACTTGGCTTCAAATCTCATAAACATAACAAAGCACCAACTACAATGCTGTCTCTTGAGTTCTTGTTGTCCAATCTTGCTGAAATAACCCTAATACAATAAAAAAGCTGGAAATAACGCCTACAACCTATCATACAGAAAATGTGAAGAAGACAAGTTCTATTGATCGATGGCCACAGACACACACAAAATGAAGTTTAGATTAGGAAATAGGCATTATTGAGAATAAATCAGTAAAATGGCAGCCCTTGTGAACATGGTGGGAAAAATCTAAAATCTTAGTGATGCACTCGTCTTCTATAATCTATTCAGACCCATGTACATCACATTAAGGTGTTTTTTTGTTTGGTTTTTGTTTGTTGCCACTTAAATCACAAATGATCATGCTTCTAATTCAATCTGAGTGCAACGTCAATATGAACAACATCTTCAATGATTTTGAATGAACTAATTCATAAAAAGTGTATTGTAATACAATGATCTGGATGTTGCGGATTGTTAACGGACATTAGAAATAACCAAAAATGATCATATACTGATTTATTATCATTTATGCATGCGTTTAGAGTAGCATGGTCGTATATGGAACAGTGTGAACGGGTTAAATCGTTGGAGCTGTTCACATAGTCTATTCGGTATTCACTATTTTCTAATAGTCAATTAATGCACACAAACATTAAAAGACGTCTTTGTTGTAACCTGCCAGCGGGGTGCGATTCAACAATCAAACTACTTAAAACGCGTCTATTCCATTGCGTTGCGCTTCTTCGATCTGTTTTGAACGCAAGAACACGTACTATGTGAACGGCTTCGTATAATTGCACTACAGACACCAATTTGTCGCCCGTCTCCAGTCAGCCACGTCAATTACCAGCGATCGCCACACACACACACACACACACACACACACACACACACACACACACACACGCCAGATTGAGTCGGGACGAGGAAAACAAGAGCAATCCCCCGCGCGCGCACGGTGTCTCTCAAGGATTTGCGTGCTAAGAAAAACAACTTGCTAAGTACCCTGCTGCGGCTAAATTAAACGGCCACGAGCTTTGCCCAGGGTCCCGTACGTGTGCTTAACGTCTACGTTTTTCATTCGAGGAATATCGCAGCACTGTTTGAGGCAACATTACATCGTGTCGACCGACGAGTGAACTTGTCCCCGATACGGCGGATGGGGAAAGCTCGTCTAACTTCATCACCCTCCATCAAGCACAGCTACTGGTCTTCAGTCAGTTGTGCCCGCTACGCTGAATGTCACCGCACAAAATACTAAATTATTCACACTCTACAGCGAAAGTGCTTTCCACCTTGCCTCTCCATTTAATCCATTTGAATAACTGCCCATCGGTACAGAAGTCAGCACAGATAATATAGTGAACGCGTTTAAATCCCATTGAAATTCATCCGTGCTGCCTCCACGGACCTGAGGTTTGGTTTTAAATCACATCAGGCTATGTAGTACATCATACAAAAGAAAAACATACCTGTTTATCCAACTACAACTCATCCAGAAAGGTATTTCCGAGTGAGGTTTTTAAAATAAGAGAATTACTTTTGGAACAACAATGTTAACTGGTGCGAAGTAAATCCAATCCCGTTTTGGTTAAGCTGTACAACGTCCTCGGAGTTTGTGCATTCCTTCCAACTGTCGGTTGACGTGAAGCCCTCGTTTCAGCACCTCCTAGAGTGGACAGCTCCGCGGAAAGCGGCTTCACCTCGCGCTTCGGGTCTGGAGAGCTACACCAGCGCGAGCCTTTCACCTACTGGCTGCAAGCCCGACCGGATTTGCATACAATAATACAATCAGCCAATCAAAAGCTCCGCTGCAAACCCCGATGAGTGACAGCCAGCCGACTTGTCTGAGCTCATCCGTTTAAATGAATTGTCCTTGACAAAGATGAACGGAGTTTGTGTGCAGACCGTCCTGTCCTCTCTTTTCCACACGGTGCTGTGTTCGCGTGTTTCATTCGATTTATTTATATTGTGGTCTGAAAATGGAAATCATCACATGTATGATCCATGTCCAGCATTGAGTTGAGCCCAAAGGTAGATTTATGGTTAGAAAAACGTGGCATTATGGTATGGCATTTTGGGCATGCATATTTTACAGTTCCTAATGTGTCATTACATGTGTCATTAATCCATATAGTGTTGATATACTAATCTATTTAAGCTGTAAAAATTGGTTTAATACTGTAAAATGCAGTGACAGCAGATGGTACAATGAAGAAGCAACATACATGACACTAAAATAATAATAATAATAATAATAATAATAATAATACATTTTACCTTACACCTTACAAAAACAGATTAAAACAAGTCCAGACAAGTTATCAATAATACAATCAACTAATAACAAGGGGTTAAACTAATAGAAACAATAAACGAAATAAAATAAAATAAAGACAATTATACAGAGTATGCTATGTGTATTAAAACATAATCTAAATAGGTATATTTTTAATTGCGATTTGAATTGACACAAAGAGTCCTATTGACGAATGTGTGGAGGAAGAGAATTCCAAAGACTTGAAAGAATTGCAATAAAAAAAACTAAATAACATAAAATGCAACAAAAATAGTCAAATGTACGTACCTGTGTGATGTGATGTTTTGTACAGAGAATTCTAGAAACATACTTCTGAGGCGATTTATCCTAAAAACACAATTTTAACAATAAAGTTAAAAAAAATGTCTTGTTAAATATAAACTTCCTTTGTAAAGGGGTTTGAAGGGGTTGCCTAAAGCTATTTTTTATTTCTATTTATTTATTTTTTAAATTAATTAATTATTATTATTATTATTATTATTTAAAATACAATTTTAAATGAAATCAGCGTTAGAGCAGTTTTAGGACCAGGATTAAGATCGACCAATTTATAGTGCCTTTTTCAATCATCGCCCATGTTCTGGAGGCACATCTTCACATCTGCGCTGGGACCCTCATATCAGTCCCAAGTATCTCTCTGATCTCCACACTCGTCAGTTCATCATGGTGCCAAAAATTATGTGGCTCAGAGGGGCTTTGTCAAGCAAAGATGACATTTTTTGTCACTTAAGAAACATTTTATTTCACTGAGGATATTGGGTGAAGTAAACATTGGGTTGACTGACTGGCCTACCAAAAATTACTTGTAAATCTCTTATTATGCTATATTATTACCAGATATTGGATGCACCTCAGTTTTTATGTGAATATTGCCAAAATTATCTATACAAATGCGTTTATCACTCAAGAACTGAAGTACATAAGCTCAGATCAACAAGGCCTACAATCAATCAGTGCCAAAAATAACTACTAAACCTGTGTTAACAGAAAGAAAACAAAAAGGTGAATCCAGGATTTTGTGATAACATAGTATAAAGAGGTATTTACAAGCAATTTTTAAAAGCTGGTCATTTTTGACCTGGGAACACCCAATTAGGGAAAGGATTTTCAAAACAAAACAAGAGTTTAAGAGATATAATTTGCATTTAAACACAACAATGCTGGCAATCTTCTCTTTTTCTAAATTGCTATACTATCTCTGTAGTGCTATTAGACACAAATATTGCCACAAAAGCTTCAGTCGCCCCAGCTATTACACTATGGTGTACCATTCAGACTTCATAAACCTGCTGTTTGGTGCAGCCAGTTGACATGGAAAAAGTTAGGATGATTGTGGCTGCACATTGGAGTAAATATCGGCCAGACAATGCATCCGGTTGGGCTCCAAAAGGAACTATAACTCATTGTAATGACACAACAGAGAAAGCGAGACAGTCAAAGCAACCTTACACAGACACAGAGAGTAGAATTCTGAGGGCAACTAGTCTGAAGGGTAGAGAGCCAAATATCTATGAGAGAGCATCTCCATATAATTGTTTTCTCTACAGACCCACTTAGCTGTCTAAAAACACCTGCAGTAAAAATGACAGCGAGAGAGCTACAAAGACAAAGTCCATATGGCTCAAGCTGATAGGCTGAGGAAATAGTACTCACCCAATAAAGCTGAGCACTCACAAAATCAGAGTGATGCAGACGGAGGGGGTGCTGTTGCTGGATTTAACCACCTACACTATGTAGGAAGCTAATTGTATCTCAATCAGCAGCAGGACACACTGAGTTTTACACACATACATACACAGTGATTATTTGGTAACTTGTAATTTGTATCAGAACAGTTACTGGCGTGTTGTTATGCAATAAAAATACTGTAAGTGAAGAAAAATTATTTAAACAAAGCATTTTCTCTTAGAATGCTTGAGCCTCCAAAATACACAAATGCCTAAATGGAGACAAAATTGTATTGGATTTAATAGTTTTCTACAAAGAAATTGCATTGCGTTTTTACCTCTATTTCCAATTTAACAAAGTCATTTCAAAAAGTAATTTTGTTTAAATCAATTTTGGTTCATTACATAATAATAATAAATTCAATCCTAAATCTAAAAATGAATTATAATTAACTAATGTGAGAACTTTTTATTGCAGAATATTTAGCTTTGATACTAGCTGAAACATCCTTTCAGGTTTGTTCAAACTTCGGACTGGTAGTGTATGAAACTGGCCTAAATAACTTTTATTATAAGGATTACTTTTTTTTTTTTTAAATTGTGAAAAAAATGTGGCAAAATCCTATAGCAAATAAATTAACCCTTTTACAAGTATAAAACTTTTAGATTTTTAAAACAGAATATATATATAAACAGTTACTGGCGTGTTGTTATGCAATAAAAATACTGTAAGTGAAGAAAAATTATTTAAACAAAGCATTTTTTCTTAGAATGCTTGAGCCTCCAAAATACACAAATGCCTAAATGGAGACAAAATTGTATTGGATTTAATAGTTTTCTACAAAGAAATTGCATTGCGTTTTTACCTCTATTTCCAATTTAACAAAGTCATTTCAAAAAGTAATTTTGTTTGAATCAATTTTGGTTCATTACATATAAAATAATAATAATAATAAATTCAATCCTAAATCTAAAAATGAATTATAATTAACTAATGTGAGAACTTTTTATTGCAGAATATTTAGCTTTGATACTAGCTGAAACATCCTTTCAGGTTTGTTCAAACTTCGGACTGGTAGTGTATGAAACTGGCCTAAATAACTTTTATTATAAGGATTACTTTTTTTTTTTTTAAATTGTGAAAAAAATGTGGCAAAATCCTATAGCAAATAAATTAACCCTTTTACAAGTATAAAACTTTTAGATTTTTAAAACAGAATATATATATATATATAGTAAAAAATTCATATGAATAAATAAATGAATCAAGAAATTAAGTATTATAATTGTAAATAATGGACAGTCCAGGTAATGGGTACATTTCCATAGGTAATATCATCCCCTTTACAAACTCATTCATAAATTTTGTATTTATTGGAAAAAAAAATTACTTAAAATGAAGCATCATACTAGACACCAGTGATTCTCAAAACAGAGATATTTGTTATTTTGTACTGTTAATATTAATAATACTATTAATATTTAATAGTAGGATGGTTTAAATATTATGTTATTATTATTATTATTATCATCAATTTGATTCATTTTATGCATTCAAGGGTTAAGTACTAAAACACTACTATACACAACTAAAACACTTTGCGCTGCCTTTGATATATCCAGTGTTTAATTCCATTTTAAACCTTGTTCTGTTCTCAGCAGTGTGCATCTATGAAGCGATGCTTTTAATTACATCAGCCTGTGACTTTACAGGTTTGCCACTGTGCCCTCTCACCCAACCTGAGAAACATAACAGGTTTAACAGCAAGTGACATGGTGTCACCTCTAGCCTATACCTTCGGGGAAAGTAAGTCACCAAAAGCAAAATAATTATCAAGAGACAGAACAGCAGCAATTATGCGGGTGTAACCTGGGAGACAGTGCAGGTAATGAGACCTGGAGGAGCACGGCGGGTTCAACTCCTGACAGTAAAGAACGGCGAGGAACGTGAAGCTGGAAGAAATCTCAGATGACAAATTTACGATGTATTTCATCACCATTTATGCTTTTAGCAAGCACTGAAATATGACTTGAGACTTTGAGATCTTAACAGAAGTTAAAATAAATCTACGTAACAGTGAAATGTAACTATACCAAAATATTTCAAATATAAATACAATACAATGCAAATGATTTAAAGATTCACTAAATCAATAAAAAGAATCACTAAAGTTTTAGACATAGTCAATGTCTATAATCAATATCTACCTTTTTTTTTTTTTTCAATTTCATTAACTGAAACTGTGCAGGGGATTTTTAGTTCCAGCATTCTTTGCATAAGGCTGGATGTTATTTTATGTGTTTTGGGGTATAGAGAAATATCTGCTTGTGTTTAATTCTCCATCAACACCCAAGTGAATTACATATGCAAAATACCATGCTTAGAGACAAAAAACAAAAAATGTTTTCACCATCGATAATAATAAAAATCATTGTTAATAACTGATTATCAATAATATTTTAGCTTCAAATCAGCGTATTAGAATGATTTCTAAAGGATCACGAGACACTGAAGACTGGAGTAAAGGCTGCTGAAAATTCAGCTTTGCCGGATGTTATTTTATGTGTTTTGGGGTATAGAGAAATATCTGCTTGTGTTTAATTCTCAGGTATGTCTGAGAGTATGTTTGTTATGTTGAAGTTTTTGAGTAACTGAACTGATCAATGAAACAGTTTGCTATGCTAGCTACAGATGCTATTTTAGGTGCACAATAGCAATCAAGAGTTTGTATTACTCATTCTCTGTA